TAAGCGAAAGGCACCAGCTTCTCGTAGTAATCGCTCATGAATTCGTCAAACGGCACGTTTTGATTCAGAAGTAGGAAATAGTTCCGGCTAGAAACGAGGATGATTTCACGCATTGAAGATGAAACTTTAAATCGGGTAAACCGAACTCAACGCATGGATTACCAGGAAATATTTTGAAATCACTGCAGGAATTTTCCATACGTGAATTTATAACATCTGTTTCCTCGATTGAGTAATTCGTAAAATTTTTAAATATTCCTGAATTCAATAGAATTCCTTATATTCGGTTTCACTAATTCGAATGATCTCAGTCGAGTTTTGGTCACGCACAATCTTTTGATCCGCTATTAATTTGGAAGTTGGTAGTAATCGGGCATGAAGCCTGGTATTGTTGTACAGTACTAGAAAAAGAAAGCTTCATTCTTTTCATAAATTTCTGTGATTCAAAATCATGAAATTTTTGATTACTGTTATACAGCAAAATCGGAATCAAATTGTATTTGGGCCATGAAACGAAAACATCGCAAGTGAAAATGAAAACCTACACGACCGTTAATTTTATGTAGTACTAAACAGAATTTAAATTACGGTCAGGGAGAATTATTTTCACATTCATCCTCTGATATATTTCAGGGGAAAATTTCTGAATTGAATACACAATTCCATTCAATCTACAATATTGAACTCGAAAAAAGGATTCCACTGCTGACGATGGTCTCTTTTCAAAAACGGAAAAAATATCAGCAACGACAAAATATGCGTTGATGCAATTTTAAAAGATTGTAGGCTTGAAAACACTAGGAAATAATTCGTTACAACGACGTTCAATATTTTATCAGAACATGGGGAAAAAACTTACTAATAAATGGATTCTTTGAATGAATCTCCGACGAATTCGCTATTTCTTCCTGTCAAGAGCAGCGAATGAATACGGTGGGCTAAGAGGTTCAGAGGGTTGAACAAGCTTCGGTCCAGGTAGCGTTGGCTCTTCTTACGGTGTAGTGACCCTAGGTGTCGTCACAGGTACAGTTAGGGAAGAAAAAGGTCGTCTAGGTTGTGCAGTATATGCTTTGTACTCGAATTTCCTCCTGAAAATTAAATTTTTAAAAACGAAAAGTAAAAAATTATTGTGCTCACGAAGAAACGTGAGCACAATTTCTCATTCAGAAATTAAGCATTCCACATTGTAATGGCGGTATTTCAAGCCAAAAGCTGAATTTTGTTAATAAAACACCTTTTTAAATGTTAGTGGATCATGAAACAGATAACGACACGAAAAAAGTCGTAATCTGGGATTAACATCCGCAATATTGCTCTAGCCTCCAGAGATTAAGGAAGTGAGCATAAAACGACTCGAAATCCTTTGCCCAGATTCTGCGAGGCGAAAATCTCAATAAAATACTGTAATTGAAAAATGCATGTCCAAAATCAACAACGTTGCTGAAAAACTTGTGATTTTTTCTTAATGGTTCATTCTTGTGGAAAAATAAGTAAGTTTAACAGTATAATCGGGTGGCGTGTAAACGTAACCACAAGAACGGACACCAGATTTTAATTAACGATACGAGTACCTTCGCAATACAAATTTCGATGACATGAAAACATAATTACTCACGATCATTGTAGAAAATGTTCAGCAACAGGGCATAAGTGCCAAGGCTTGGGCGAATATGTAGAACCTTTGTGAACTCCGCAAGCGTGGCAAGAGCGATTTCCTTTCTCTGTCGCCACGAACCCATGCTAGTCAGAGCCTCCATCACTGCATTCAACGTGCCGACATTCGGCCGCAGGGAAGCTTGTCGCATCTCCGAAAGCAATTCCTGAAGATTTCAAAACTGGGAATTGATTCTATTGAAAGTAAACCTTTGGTAATTACACAGGTTTTAAATACGATTTTGCGATCTTGTCGATCAATGGGTCAAGAAAGATAAACTTCTCGAGGAATTATATACTGTACTTCGTTAACCTCGGGTTCCCAAAATGCAACTCGATGGTCATCGATGAATATGTTAAGATGCGGTTCTACTGCAAAAATCGTGTGACGAACATTCCACAGGGCAACGATAAATCCGGTATGTGTTTGTGGGTCATGAAACAGGTCACGAAAATCAACGAACCTCGTAACCTGGGATTAACAACCACAATTTTGATCTAGCCTCCAGAGATTAAGGACACAAGCATGAAATGGCTCAACATCCTTTGCCCAGATTCTGCGAGGCGAAAATGTCAACGAAAGTCTCGTATCACTACTCAAAGTGTTTTAAAGAAATGATTATCAATAACGCCTTCAGCGATTTTTGCACATTGAACGTTGCTTCATGTGGTTGGTTGCGTCAGTAACAAGCCCCATTTAAATCTAGCCAATCGTTAGAATTCCGATGTCAAGTAAACGTAAAACATTAGCTCTGATGTGATATCTATCGCCCAGAGCGTATCGTACCTTCCTCTTAAAATTGCGATAACGAAGACAGCTGGATCAGAGAAGATAAATCAGGATCAGTTTTCAGCAAAATGCATGGAAAGCATCTACAAATACTGTACAACAAGAAGAATCACAGCGATAAACAAGAAAAACTCGACAACAAAGATTATGACTCGACCTCATGGAAAGGGCAAATAATCCGTCGATTGAATTCGCCAATGTAGTATTCATTATGCTTTTTTCTGGTCATGCTATGCAGATTGTGCTTGACAATGGCCTGTCAGAAAATAACTTTCCATGGGACAGATCAGCACAAAATGATAGTTCGATTCAAGAGATGCATGCTTCAACAACACTTACCAAAGGATAAAATGCTACGTCTGTCATTTCGGTGTGTAGTTAGGTTAGGCATCATCATTAGGGAACCAAGGAAGGATTACTTTTCCTTTCTTTCGCAGATGTCGCTAGTGCAGGCCCACGTGGCAGCCTGATCACATAAAGCATTACCAAACATCTCTCACGCATTTCAGGCTACTTGTACTGTTTGACACGGAGAATCGAATACCAAGATGGATTATTTTTCGGCAGACTGAATCTGGTTCATTGAAGGCTATGCGCAGTTGAGACAAGGGATATATTGGGAGAACCGATCGTAAATTACGAAAAGACAGCCGATCTTCTTACCGTAACAAGCTGCCAACGAAGATCATTGCTATCCTTCAAAAAATTCACAACGCGGATTAAGGCGTTGTAGGTTTCTGTATCCAAAAGAAGTCTCAAAGACTTCGTTTCCTCGAACAAATGCCAAGCCTTCTCCACCTGAAATGAGATTTAACTTTTAAATGCGCTCGCAACTCTAGAAGAAAATATATTACTAACCTGGAGGTGCTTTGCCATTCCACGGATGATCGCTGCATAAGCTTGTGCACTACGCGGCTCTGGCATGCTTTTGAAAATTTCATCCGCCAAACCGCCATCTCTATCGCATGAGAAGAATAATGCACCTCAACCACAGTCCAGGGTTTCTAACACGTAATCGACAATTACAAATGGAGCTCAGAATTTTCTTTAGGGCCTTCAACAAGTTCCAGATGCAACGATAACCGACGCCTTCCGTCGAACCAAAACTTGTACAACGTTTAAAAAAATTGGCTTCTGTTCCATGTACGCAGGATAAAACCGCCGAACACAACCGGCAAAACCCATAGGCCAAAATCGTCTCGGAACGTCATATTTGCTTAAAATGAATTAGAGTGATCAACACTGCCGGAAACTAGGTTTACCAGTTTACTGTTGCGTTACCAAGCCATGGCTTCGGATTACTCTAGCTCAAAGTAAAAAACTTGGTTGCACATGAAGAGGGGGAGGGAGAACTCTACAGGGCACCAAAACAAAAGAAATATCCGAAAAAATCTCTTGAAAATGTGGAAAGATTAGTACCTCCAGATTTTCTTGCGAGATTGCTTTGGTTGGTTCTGCGCAGAAAACCAACGCTCTTCGAGGAATTCTGGGTCCTGCGCGTCTTGTGCATTGAAGAAACACAGTACTTCGAGCAACTTTTGTTGAACTTCGATGCTCATTTCTGCGGTCAAAAGATAATCATGCGGTTGTCAATCCGAAAAACGGACCGAGGAATCAAACCTTTGTTTCCCAACAGCATAGCTTCGTAAATCTTGGCGCAATCATCCACATCGCCAGCTTCAATTCTTACTAGCAAATCAGCTTCGGTTATCGAACTTAGGTCTTCCGGTAGCGAAATATTAGGCGCGAATGCCTAAAACACAAAATTTGCAAAAATTTACTTATTTCACGACGGTAGCACGGCAGAAATAAATGAATTCCATGCCTCAATGAATGGATCGGCTTCCCGATGAAGAAAATATTCAGAGTGCTTGTCTCTGATGAACCGAGCCGCTTTTCTTCCGGACTCCTTCGACAATGCGAAGGCTCGCTTTGCATAATTTGAAGTTGGCGTGAGAAACGGATCATCGTGGAACTTGTAATGAGCTGAAGTGTAATCCGAACCAACGGTCGCCGCCAAAGCCTACGGAGCAAGCCAATCAGAGAGGAAAGTTCACCTGATTTCGTATGGGTAAGGCTTACACGTTTCGGCAGCTTTTTACACTACTGTATAATGTAATAACCAAATACACTACTGTATAATGTAATAACCAACATCAGGAAAACCTTAAAAGACGAAGGGGGCACGGCACTTTCAGGCTGTCAGTCTTTGGATGGCACGCAAGAAAACTTACTTTCAAAATGTCAGTCGGCCCTCGCTCGATTCGGCGAGGAATAATAACCGTGGAAGCCTGAGTACCGCATAGTCGAGAAATACTCTTGGTCAGCAAGCAATTTCTGCAATCACGACACATGAATATCCTCAAGTAATTTTAAATTTTGTCGCGAAAATAATAACCTTGCTGGGCCACAAAGCACCATCGTGCAATTTCACGAAACCGAATTCAATTCACAGCCTTTCTGCAAGAAGATACTCAGTCTGGAACGGACCTTCTTGACGACGACATCAAATACGAAATACAATCAATGCCACTTCCACCGATCAATCTTGAATAAGGAGGAAAAAAGGAAATGGTAGACTGGTACGAGGGATTCCCGGTGCTGACGCCGACAACTGTAAGTACCACGGACGCGTTACAACCTTTCGGCTAACACGAAAATTGGCATATCCATCCCTCCTAATCTTCTGCCAGCCGGTGAAATTCACCCCTTACAACACACGTATCATTCCAAAAGGGCCCCCATGCTATGCACCCAAAGATGCATTTTCATTACCACAGACACATTTTCGGGAATACGCATACCGTAGTACATTAATTTATTCGTTAACTTCTGCCACACAAAAAGCCGAGAAAGCGGTACTTCTAGAAGGGAACGCTGATTCGCTTGCTAAAGAAACATTTCCAGATTGCACACATGCCCAAACTCAAAGAGCAGTCTGTGTGTGCTACTTGGTAATTACCTACTCCTAAAATAATATTCAACAATAGCTTTTTTTAAAGAAGAATCCATTGTACAAAAAATTGTACTTCACTATCAGTACTGCTGTGTATATATCATACAGTAGTAGTACAGTACTATACAGAGAAGAGTAAGACAATCTTATGCTTTGAGCATCTCACACCTAGAGTTTGAACTTACAATATATTCATATAAATTTTGGTCAGGAACAGGATACTGCTGAAGTCAGGGAAAGTGTCTTACAGTACTGGACTTCAACCCAATTTATGAAGGGTCTTTGGGAAGCAAAAATATTTATCACTCACGCTGATGCAGCACATGAATGGGATCATAAAAAATGATCTTGAGTGATGCAAAAGCCTTCTTATTGTCAGAACATTCACGGTTCAGGAATCTTAAAGTTTTGTGTCTGTTTTATACAACAGGAAATACAGAAGAATATCTGCTACAGTTGAACCTTGATGAGTCAAACCTCCCCAAGTCCCAGTCTGAATCCCCTTTGAATCAATACATTAAAAGCCTCCCTAACTTGATTTTTCTCTCTAAAACCTCTGTGTCAAATTTTCTGAGGCCTTCTGGTTATTATTTCCTTGATATATGAAAGAGAAAATGTAAAACAAATAATTTCATACATCTTGATAGGAATTAGACAAAAATAGCAAATGAACCCCTGCCTCCAAGTTCAGGAACAGGTAAACTCATTAAGGATCTATAGTTTTGGCCAAGAATATCCTCATTCATGATTTCTCACACTTCTTTCACTTCTCAAAAGAAGTGTTTCTTTCTCAACTATAGAAACGTCCAAAAATCAAAACCTTTCTAAGTCGAATTTTTTTCGAGTCCCTAGAAAATTGACTTATAAAAGGTTCAACTGTATATTCGTCCACCATTCCCCTTCATGAGGTAAAAAAAAAATCATCAAGAACCCATCAGTGCAAATCAAATGAACCACCTATTTCTGAAGGCAGCAGTGATGCATGGATGTACAGTGTTCCAACATACTATACAACATTATTGGGCTCTGACATGGTGAAGAAATCCAATTGACGCTCTCTCCATATGGACGATGTAAATTAATGCATATAATGAATCAAAAACGTTACGAGAATATATGCAATTACTATTTGATTAGAACCTAACTTTCTCAAAAGAAGAAAATTTGCAATAATCCAGAGTTTAGAAGCAGAATCTGTCAAATATAATACATTCGGTAAAGGTCTAGATGCAAATCTCAACGAAATCTCCAGTTAAAAAAAATCATTTGTTCATTAATTCGTCGTTATTTAAATAACTACACATTTTAAATTTGATGCAGAATATTACATACAACCTTAAAGGGGAACCAACAATGAAATCATTCCATATTTTCCGATAGGCATACGATTCAAACAATATCTTACAATTTAAAAAAAATCACCAATTTCTCAGGCAGCGTTTTGTATTCATCGTTAAGTCGGGAGTTATCGAATATACAGTACTTCATTCATCAAAACTAACTCGCATGCTTATTTGCTCTTTTTTCTGTGATGTCGGAATCTTGCAGCCGCTTCACAGTTGCCATAATTCTGTATCCAACATCCAAGGAATTCCACCCAAAAGAAATGAATGACGCATGATTTCGAACAAAAAATTCTTCTCGCGCTAGAATGCCAACATAACTTCTTCAGGCACAATCGCTCTCGGATAAGTTTCGCCGACGAATATAAAATGAACGCAGAAGTATTCTTTTTTTTCTGATAGTAAACTGGACCTTCGTCTTTTTCACTCACACAACACGCACGACAAATGAAGGAATAAAAAAAACACTCACCGACAAATAAATCATACAAACCATACCGTTCTTTTAATAACTGAATTCTTCTGAACCATCACGTGTTGATTCGTCTTCGACAAGTTTACCCGTCGCGAGGTGTCGCGCCAAACACATGCTTTCATCTGAAGTAGTTTAATTCAAAACCTGGACTGCTGGTTTTCACAGTCAACGGACATTTGAGCGACTATGCACAAAATCATCATGAGATCGGCACAAATAGTATAACGGCTTCAAAAGCAGATCATGACGGGGAATACAATTAAAGGAATCCGAAATAGCACAGGTTGGATATCAGCACACACGACAATTACCGTACTTGATTTCCCAAGATACTAGAGTGCAGACGGATCCTGAAACGACTGCATCAGCAGCACATGACCAAGTTCCTATTTTAAAAGCGTTTTCTCCACTCAGCGAACCAATGAATCTTGATTCGAATTTCATAACTACAGAAAATGTTGAATCAGAAGCAGGATTTGGAGGAAGCTCTCAACGGCTTATGCATGAAATGCACGCGAAACCAAGACAGCTACGGTTAATAGCCCATCCGCAAAGCAACTTCTTCGCAAAACAGCCTCGAGCTTCAGGTGACTGCTTACGAGCTGCACAATTCATGCCTCGGATCCCAGCTTTGATCCACGAAGAATCAACAGAAAAAAAACATATGTGACTGTCAATTGGCAATATAAACTTAAAAAAGGCACCCATGCTGTGCCGACCCATTTTCATAAGCAGAATTTTTCTTCTTTTAAAAATTATTCAACCAAGTTTTTCCAGGTCTCATTTCCTTTTCATGTGAATCGATAAGCAAGTAGACTGAATAGCTTCAACAGTCAGCACCGGAAAAAAATATTTTCCGATAGTGACCTCCGTACTAAGATTGATTACGGCTGTTATCCTGTCTCGTCTATAACTTTATCGCCCGTGTCTGGTGCATGTTAAAGAATATTTCAGGATTCAGATTTTTAGTTGGTAGTCCTACATTCGAAATACAATACGTTCTTTCAAAACTTATTCAGAATAATTTCCGGAGCATGGCGTCTCTTACACGAGGCGTTCAGAAATTGTGCTTTTCCATGACTAGGTCAAAGTTTTGAGACAACATGGATGCAGTTTCGTGGTTTATGCTTGACATACAGGAGCTCATGTAGACTCTGAATTGGGTGCTCCAGCTTCATTTGCAGTAGAGAGTAACAGTCTCCGTCGCATTCCCAGTCGCATTGAACCAGAACGCTCGTTGGGCGACGGAGAATGCAGTTTCGAATTCACGGGTGATAGAATACCACGAAGACATGCTCTGACTGGACTATTAGAGCCACGGAGATCTGGTTGTTCAGGAGTTCTGTTCCCCTCAATGCGTTGATTTCTCTTCTTTCCCGTTGAAGGATTCCGACGCGGGGTCCAAGTCGGTGGCGGCATTATGACAGCGTCGGGGTCGTCAATGACCGGAGATCTGGCCGGACTTTCAATTCGGAAACGAGAACTTCGAAAACAAACAAACAAAAAAGGAAATACATTTATTTGCGAGAAAGAATGCAGTGTTTACTCGAGTAAGAACCACACCCATATTTTTTTGTGAACAATTTCCCCAAAAACTATCCCCGGGTAAGACCCACACCCCGTTTCTTTGTGAGCCAAAAATCAAGAATTGTGAAAGACTGTTTTGTGCATCGATTCCATTTTTCCCCATTGATACAGTGAGACCCCCACATGCGGACAATTCGACATAGGGACACTTATTTTCCAATAAAAAATTAATAAAAAAGGCCCAACATGGGGACACAGACTCAACATAGGGACATTTGGTGATAAAATTGCTAATAAGTTTCAGGCCAAATTACAAGAAACACGATACTACTAACACTCAAGTTGATGTAAGAAAAGTTCTAGGGCATTTACAATTTTTATTCTCATGGAATTATGGTGAGTAATATTTTGTCCATAAAACACCAATCAAGGTATAATGTAATTCTAAGAGAAAATGAGACTTGACTTAGGGACACTCTTGATGAACCAATTACGTCCGCATCTTGGGGTCTCACTGTATTTTGTCTTTCCTGTTTTTTACTGTCTGCAAGAGTAGTTAAAATGAGCTTGCGACATACGGCAGCTTCCTCAATTAGATGATTATTTTTCCTTCTTGTTGCATCTCCAACTGGTATTACTAAAATTGTTATTGCTCGAACCATTTTTTTTATCATGGACCAGGAGAATTGGCACCACACATTTCCTATGTTGCTTAGATGAACAGTACTGTTCTTACATATGTGTGAGAAGCACTGGTTGCGGGGATTTATCCTTTAAAAATCTCTGCTCAAGTACCAAAAGCAACCTATTTTCCAGCCCAAATTTATGGAGCGTACGTGGTACTTGAGTGATTACGGTACTTGGTGGATGAAGCAATTAAAATGCATCGAAAGAACGTCAAAGAAGACGCAATCTTGTTCTTGGGGGTTGCGATTCCAGGTCCGGAACGCATAAATTTTCGCTTAACCGTAGTCCATGTTAAATAAAGCTACCCTTAAAGACATTAATCATGGAGCGAAGGTAATTTCGGTAGTCAAGTTCGACCAAATAATCAACGCGGGAATCATTTCCACGTCAACATTAGATGGAAATCCGAAAAACTTACCTTTCCCGCCGAACCACGGTGTAAAAATCCTTCAGCGCGGGCGAAGGCAAAGCGTCACAGTCTTGTACAAGCGGGCTTCCCCACACAGGGGGTCCAACCGGAGAAGGAACCGAACAATCACTGTCGCTTCGATCAATTTTTTTGCACACGTTCGGGGACAACGTGCTCCCGTCATCGTCGAACAGAATCGGAGTGCTCGGAGTCACGTGCACTTGAGATCGGAAACGCAATTGTCTCGCCGTTTGAGTCCCAACACGTGGAGTACCGACCACAACGTGATCTGAAAAGACATGACATTTCAAACTTTCAGATTTATACGGTCAATTATTTCAATATAATCGGAATTCGAAAAAATTTCTTTCTTTCTGAATCAACGCGTCCCGGTTCCCACATTTTGAATCTAGATACGGTAATCGTGGCAAGAAGACTCAATCTGCATTCAATACAACGGCATTCCCCAGCCTTTTTAGGCTCGCGGACCGGAAAATGTTAATAAAATCTGTAGTGGACCGGCATATTTTCGTAAAATTTTCCGCGAATCAGCAACGTTCCATACAACTTTTGACGACCAGCAAAAAATTTCTAAATACAGTACAGTACTTTCCATACAGCCCAAAGACAAAAAATGGTTATTGTAAAAAATTAAGTCAAGAACCAATGAAGCAGCTATTTAGTGGAATGCCTTTAAAATAGGAAGAAAGCCAAGCTTCAATAAAGGTTTCTCAGATTGAAAACTTGAAATTATTTTAGCAGGTGAAATTTCTGAAGTGCTATCAGGAGAAAAGCCAACTTTTATTTTTCATCAGATGATTTCAACTGTCATTGTCTTTCCAAAATTTTGGATTGTGATAACAGACTTCATTACTACTTTTAACAAATTTATTATGCGGAAGAAATTTACCCGCGGATCTGCAAAAAATTTCTCCGGACCAGCGCCGGTCCGCGGATCACGGGTTGGGGAACACTGCAATAGACCACGACTTAGAACGACTCCAGAAATCTGATGGGCCGTGCAGAAATTTCAATTCAAGAAGCGAAATCAAACTGTACACAATTTTGAATTTCAACTTGAAGAGCTTCCTTTTACAGTTTTGGACTAGGTACGCGAGCTGACGAACTTCACGGTTACAGTACTGTACAGCATTGGTACTGTACAGCGAAACTGTGCTTCACTCCAGGAATCTAATTTATTTAAAGAATTTCGGTATCCAGGCGAAGACACACGACTTATAATTTGCATTATTCCAGCAGAACTATTAAAAAAATGCTCAAATAGGGACTAACCGTCTTCATAATCAGCAACCGATTCCGGAGTATCCGGAACTGCCACTGGCATTGCAACCGATTGCGGCGTCCGCACGCGAAGTCCCACAGAAAAGGCACCTAATTGAAACGACGCAACAATAGCTTGACACGTGCCGAACAGATTCCTTCTCACGCTCACACCGTCTTCGCTGTTCTCTTCACTGTTTTCTTGCGTAGGCTTCTTTTTCCCTGAAAATTGACGAACATACATCAAATACTTTTTGCATGAGAATAAAAGTTTTATTTTATAACGACAAATATAGGAATCCCAAGTGTATGATTGACTCGCGTCCAGTCGAAGGTCTAGACAATGTTTTAAACTGAATGAGAAAAATGATACCAAAAGTGCAAATGCATACTCAGCGCGGATACATGAAGCAGCGCGGACAAATACGAAGGTGCGTGAGTTCAGGTCGTAAAAATTTAGCACGTTGCAGCGTTCTTCAAAGCAGAGGATGCAATGCGGAAATACACGCGAACTTATTTATACAGCACTGCAATTTTTAGTGAAATTGCTTTTTGGCACAAAGTCATTTATCAGCAGCTAATTGAGTATTGTATTTTAAAAATTTTCGAAAGATCATAGAGAAAATTAAATTTACTAAGATAAACCGGAAATAATGCGATCGTTTCAGAAAATTACTCTGTTCTTGATCGTTTACAAACTTTTTGTCTGCTTCCGAATAACCCTCATTAAACCCCATTTCTAATGTATTAACGTATCATTGAATTTCATAGCAGTTGCATATCTACACCATCACCCCATAAGGAAAAAAATCTTTCTCCACCACAAAAAACGAATGACCCAGACGAGCCAAATTTCTATGACGTAACTCCGGACAAACTTCTGTTGATCGATGTTTTCAGACTGCTTTTTGCAATGTGGAACCCTTTGGAATCAACTACGTGGTTCAATCTATCTATGCATGACCCAATTTGAAGCAAAACCTTCCTCCATCAAAACGAGGAAGCAGTTGTCAGTCTTATTTCATTCAGGATAATTCATCTTTGGTCACCTCTAGTTTTCACAGAAGCCTTGGGAACAACAATGCTCTTGAAGGCTTGTGGTCTATCTTTTCTTTTCCCATTTGCCACCTCTTCCGAATCTTGAGGATGTTGAGAAGAATCTCGACTAGTTTCCGACGAATCCTCATCTGCTTGAAGACTCATTTCATCTTCGGTAACGGGAGACAAAAACCCTTCCAACTCCACCGGCACTGGAACGTTGAATTGAGCGCATAATTCGGCGATCAACTTTCCATGGCGACGCTTGAATCTAAGGATGTAAAAAAACATATTCACTCTATGTTCAATGAAAACTTAGGGGATGAAAAAACGAAAGCATTAACTTTTCTCACCTTTTCACTAAAACTTCAGTCATGAACGGNTCGAACAGAATCGGAGTGCTCGGAGTCACGTGCACTTGAGATCGGAAACGCAATTGTCTCGCCGTTTGAGTCCCAACACGTGGAGTACCGACCACAACGTGATCTGAAAAGACATGACATTTCAAACCATCAGATTTATACGGTCAATTATTTCAATATAATCGGAATTCGAAAAAAATTCTTTCTTTCTGAATAATAATTTAAATCAACGCGTCCAGGTTCCCGCATTTCGAATCTAGATGAAGGTAATCGTGGCAGGAAGACTCAATCTGCATTCAATACAACGGCGTTCCCCAACCTTTTTAGGCTCGCGGACCGGAAAATGTTAATAAAATCTTTCGTGGACCGGCATATTTTCATAAAATTTTCCGCGAATCAGTAAAGTTCCATACAATTTTTGACAACCAGCAAAATTTTTAAAATACAGTACTTGCCATACAGTCCTAAGAACAAAACTGTTATCGTGAAAAATTAAGTCAAGAACCAATGAAGCAGCTATTTAGTGGAATGCCTTTAAAATAAAAAGAAGGCCAGACTTCAATAACGGTTTCTTAGATTGAAAACTTGAAACATATTTTAGCGGGTGAAATTTCTGAAGTGCTATCAGGACAAAAGCCAACTTTTATTTTTCATCAGATGATTTCAACTGTCATTGTCTTTCCAAAATTTTGGATTGTGATGACAGAAGTTATTACTACTTTCAAAAAATTTATTATGTGAAAGAAATTTAACCGCGGATCTGCAAAAAACTTCTCCGGACCACGGGTTGGGGAACACTGCAATAGACCACGACTTAAAACGACTCCAGAAATCTGATAGCCCGTGCCGAAATTTCAATTCAAGAAGCGAAATCGAACTGTACACAATTTTGAATTTCAATTTGAAGTGCTTCCTTTTACAGTTTTGGACTAGGTAGGCGAGCTGACGAACATCACGGTTACAGTACTGTACAGCATTGGGAATGTCAGCGAAACTGTGCTTCACTCCAGGAATTTAATTTATTTAAAGAATTTCGTTATCCAGGCGAAGACACACGACTCATAATTTACATCACTCCAGCACAACTATTAAAAAAATTCTCAAATAGAAACTAACCGTCTTCATAATCAGCAACCGATTCCGGAGTATCCGGAACTGCCACTGGCATTGCAACCGATTGCGGCGTCCGCACGCGAAGTCCCACAGAAAAGGCACCTAATTGAAACGACGCAACAATATTCAAAAATGTTTGCGATTTTCCCAATATAGCAGATTATAACATACCTCGTGGCGAAGGAGTGGCGCTGAAACGTCGACGCTTCACGTTTTCTGGAGTACGAGGAGACCCACGAGATAGTACATCCAAATCACGACCCCGCTTTGCCCGAACGAACACAGGGTCAGGTTTTCGAACTGTGCACGGCTTGTCTAAGGAAGAGTGCGAGTGTGGCAGAAGCGACAAGAGAAGTGACAAAAGAACGCATCCGAAGAAAAAGGGACTTTTAACTGCTTGTATGTAGTTTATGAAAAACGTACGGAATAAAAGTTTTATTTTATAACGACAAAGATAGGAATCCCAAGTGTATGATTGACTCGCGTCCAGTCGAAGGTCTAGACAATGTTTTAACCTGAATGAGAAAAATGATACCAAAAGTGCAAATGCATACTCAGCGCGGATACATGAAGCAGCGCGGACAAGGAAAAAAAAAAAAAAGACGAAGGTGCGTGAGTTCAGGTCGTAAAAATTTAGCACGTTGCAGCGTTTTTCAAAGCAGAGGATGCAATGCGGAAATACACGCGAACTTATTTATACAGCACTGCAATTTTTAGTGAAATTGCTTTTTGGCACAAAGTCATTTATCAGCAGCTAATTGAGTATTGTATTTTTAAAATTTTCGAAAGATCATAGAGAAAATTAAATTTACTAAGATAAACCGGAAATAATGCGATCGTTTCAGAAAATTACTCTGTTCCTGATCGTTCACAAACTTTTTGTCTGCTTCCGAATAACCCTCATTAAACCCCATTTCTAATGTATTAACGTATCATTGAATTTCATAGCAGTTGCATATCTACACCATCAAGTGAAGCAAAACCTTCCTCCATCAAAACGAGGAAGCAGTTGTCAGTCTTATTTCATAAGGAAAAAAATCTTTTTCCACCACAAAAAACGAATGACCCAGACGAGCCAAATTTCTATGACGTAACTCCGGACAAACTTCTGTTGATCGATGTTTTCAGACTGCTTTTTGCAATGTGGAACCCTTTGGAATCAACTACGTGGTTCAATCTATCTATGCATGACCCAATTTGAAGCAAAACCTTCCTCCATCAAAACGAGGAAGCAGTTGTCAGTCTTATTTCATTCAGGATAATTCATCTTTGGTCACCTCTAGTTTTCACAGAAGCCTTGGGAACAACAATGCTCTTGAAGGCTTGTGGTCTATCTTTTCTTTTCCCATTTGCCACCTCTTCCGAATCTTGAGGATGTTGAGAAGAATCTCGACTAGTTTCCGACGAATCCTCATCTGCTTGAAGACTCATTTCATCTTCGGTAACGGGAGACAAAAACCCTTCCAACTCCACCGGCACTGGAACGTTGAATTGAGCGCATAATTCGGCGATCAACTTTCCATGGCGACGCTTGAATCTAAGGATGTAAAAAAACATATTCACTCTATGTTCAATGAAAACTTAGGGGATGAAAAAACGAAAGCATTAACTTTTCTCACCTTTTCACTAAAACTTCAGTCATGAACGGTTTGATATGAGAGCAGCAATCTGCGTTCAGCGTGAGTTTCGAAAGAAGTTCTGAGACCTCGGCAGTCAGTTTACCATGCGTTACTCGATCGGATTTTTTAACCACCAAGGACATGGCTTCGAGTCGAATTAGGGTTTGAAATTTCAGCTCCATTGCTCGGACATTCCCATTCAGAGAGCAAACTTGATTTATATCTCTAAGCACACAGGAGGACATTGCTTGCAAAACCGCCACCTGAAAGAGGGAGTCACAAAAAAATGCTAATATGAATGAGAGCTCTTGGATTGACGATTACTAATCATATACTCTCCACCCAGCCCCTTATTCAAGTTCCGCGAACTGCTGGGTGTATCGATGTAAAAAATAATCATACTGTACTATATACTTTAAAAATCCTCCTGTTTGAATGTAAAAGAGATCATGGTCTAGTTATTTTCTAAAAGGACATTTACATAACGCACCGCGGACAGACAACAATCTTAGATATTATCCCCAAAAAGATAAGGAGGGAACAGAACTGCAAAAAAAGGATGATATCATACTTCGGCAGAAATCCATCTTTGACCTTCACAGTCGGGAGATTCTTATAACAACATAGTTTAATGAACATAGTTTGAATATAACGACACAGTCGGGAGATTTTTATAACGACATAGTTTTGAATAGGCAAGCTTCATAAGGATATCGGCGTTAAACTTTTCGGTAAATACGTAAATACGTTTCCCCAAATCAGCGAGTGATGGAAGCTTTGCTCATTCCATGGAGAACCGTAATTTTTCGAAAAGTAAAAATTAAAGGACACCAGAGAGACCATATGTTCACAAACATAGAACCACATTAGTTTCACAAACCTCAGAACACTGATTTTGAATCTTACCATGGCCTAATTCATGCTCAACTTCCTTTTAATTTCAAAAAAATAGAGTCCTGATTCTCCTGAATAGTAAACAAGAGGTATGGTCAGTTGTAAAAAAAAAATCCGCCGTTGATCACATGAACAGTAACAGCACCAGATACAGTACAAGGTTCATAAGGCTATATCCGGTTCAAGAGCTTCGTAGAGGCGACGACTCTACGTTAATTAGATAATCATTTATTAAAAGAAAAAAGTAATTACCCTTGCAGAGCTAGAGTCCGGACAGGTCCGCTTGAACACTTTGCAGAGCCAGAAAATTGTTTTCCTACTAGCATTATATAGCTCTATATTGGAGCTCAGTTTGAATGCCTTCGATTTAATTCTTTCTAGATATTTTCCAATGTCGTCTGCGTGAACTTCTTTCGAACTAGTTCCGCTGATCTTCCCATCGATCTGTTCCACCTTGGACGCGTTATTCCTTGGTAACCCACGCACTTTTTCCAATCGTTTCTGTATTTTCAGCTTGATAGTGGCTTCGGCATTGCATATAATTGCTTCTTTTCTACTTACGGGCTCCCTCGACGAAGCAACAACTTCACCCTGGCGGAATCTTTTTTGGAAGAGTTTATCAACTTTAGGGTGTGTTTTCGGCTTAACTTCAATCTTTGCAAGATGCTGAATGCAAACGTTGACGAATGAGTCCATGGGAACGGCGCTCACAGCCTTCGACCTCTTTGAAGTATCTTCGCCCATACGAGCGCCCATTGCCTTGAATAGCAGAATCGGAATCTCATTCTTTTTTACGGGAACAGCAACACCGGAGACGCAGGCGACGTCATTCGTTGGAATGGAGGTAAAAATCCAAAGATTTCCACCAGCCAAGACGAGCTGCTTCGAATATTCGCAATGCCAAATTGTTTGGGACGGCGGAAAAGAGAATTTCCAGGCACAGCTCATTTCTGTCCGGCTCATCAATGCCCATTCTGAATTGTCGACGTACGGTGATAAGCAGATCCAACTGCACTCATCTTCAAGCCTACGAATAAGTATTTTTTATCAATAATTTAAACAACAAATGATGAAAATGAAACGCACTTGAACAAAGGTAAAAATGAAGACAAGGGCCCTTTAAGGGGATCGAATTTATTCGGCTGAAACACCGTCTCGTTTTCTACGCTCAGAAATTCTACAACCAGAATACTGTACCTCCTCTGACAACCCAAATGCTACATTCAATTTGCGAAGTAGAGCGCATTCGTGGTGTGGAAAAGGTTTTTCAATTTAATTTCAAAGCCATGTAATATCTGACGGTATACGCAACTTACTTTTCATTACGTATGGTTTCCATCGTTCCTACGAGACACGTCTCCGTGAATTTTTCATCAACAGTACGCAAAACTACTTCTTGAGTCCCTTGCTTGTCGGTATCTTGAGCTGATAGTTGAATATCAAGGTACATGTCCGCGCTCTCCAAGCCAAGCTCCTGGGGCTCCGCATCCGTATCCTCCACATGAGATTCAAGTTCCGGAAAATCATTCCAAACACCGGACGAAAGATTACACGTGCATCCCGAAACACTCGCCAGAAAGTTCGCTAGATAGCGTGGTTTTCTTGCTTCTTCGCGGGCTCCCAAGTTGAAAATGACTAGCTTAATCCCATGCTCAAGAAGCTTCTCTTTAATGCTCCCATCCATGAAAACGGCTTCTTTCTCAGGCAAGGAGGTAAACACGGCCAACAATTTCTCAGCATCACACGGATTTTCGTGATCATTCCAGTCGAATTGAATTAACACATTTTGCAGTAGACTTCGGAAGCGCTTTGCCCATGGAACTTTTATTTCTGAGGCCTCAGGCCTGCTCTCCATGAAAGATCTAGCTTGTTGAATCCAGAACACCATCCGAGACCATGAAATCTTCGTCTTGATCGGCGAAGAAAGGACACTAGTGTCTGGCTTTGTAACGAATTCCAAATATGCATCTCGATATTCGGATACACGCCGCAAACACAACACGAAAAATTGCCACGCAAAACAATCGAAAGATGCCTCAGACGGGTCAAGCACTGCAACTACACGAGTGCTCATTGCTCAGCTATCGCGGAAGAACCCGAATGGCAGGAGTGAATTTCTTCCAGCACAATAGCTCACATTCGCGGCACGGTCATCCCAAAGGGCGCCCATTCAAGATCACCTTAAGAGGGGGCTTCCATCATGGTCAACATTGGAAACTTATCAATGAGATTTGCAGTGAATCACATTCCCATGTACAGTACACACAGTTCTATCCATTATGATAAAGAACACTGTTCAGGGCAAAATTCACCCTCCTGCTATGCTGACATGATCAAAAATTCTGTCTCTTGATTGGGTAAATGAAAAATCTACCTTTCCACATACAGAAATGTCCTCATTCATATGACATCTAACGCAACCCGTGCCATGGAAGCAGGGTGGTACTCCATACCTTGAGAAATACATTTTGCGTCAATTTGCGTGCTAGGATGTCCACTATCCAAGACAGTTTCCACCTTTAATTTGAGAACCCACTGATGGCCTTTCCTAGTCCATTGAGATACGATTAAAAATAATTGGTACAAGAGAAGAATATAATCACAGGATGCAATTTATCTTCACTTTCCAGCCCAGGAAAACAATACAAAACATGTAAAAGGAACATATCAGGTCAAACAAAGTTCTGCAGATCCCACTGCAGGTAGAAGACTCAGCTGTGCTGCATTCATTTCACCCTCTCTCACAGCTTTCTTGGGGTGTGGTGGAGAAAGAAACCTGTCCAAAGTGGTCTGTTTCTTCCTTTCTTTTTCAGCACCTGAAAAATATGATAGAAAAAAGTTCATTGTTAGAAACCAGTTGTTTCCATTGACCTCTAGAACAAGGTTAAATTATCTCCTGAATGATTTTGGGTTTCATCTTTCAAAAAGCATTCCCAGAAATATTACCGAATACTTCAGCTACTTTATAATTACCTGCTTTGAGTGTATTTTGAAGAAGGTTCAGCTGCTCAGCATGAACTTCAATGTCTACTCCAACTTCCTGGAAAGTTTGAGAATTAATGGTTCTCTCGGGAGTAATATGCTGCCCTCTTTTCTCAAGAAGCTCCTTGAAGTGGTGCATGACATTTTCCCCAAAAATCTCCACCAGTCTGCTGGCTTCAACATTGTCAGGATGATACTCCAACACAAATGCTTTAACCTTCTCCCACATTTGCAGATGCTCCTCAATGACGGCATTAGGGGAATTTCCTGTTGTACTATGGTCAGGTATGGGAGAAAACTCCTGCTTCACTTCTTGAGGTTTGAACTCCTCCCACATCTGAAGATTTGACTCAACAAAAGCTGTTGAGGATGTTGCTCTGCTGTCATCAGGTTCCAAGAAAAACTCTTGCTTAACTTCATGGGTGTCTTGGAGAAGAGTTTGTAGTTCATCAGTGTTCAGTTCAATGATCAATTCCTCTGGAGCCTCTTCCACACTAGGAACATTTTCTCCTTGCCTCACAATGCTGCTTCTCTTCTTAAACCTTTCATACCACCCTCTACTGGCTTTGAATTCCTCTTCCTTTTCTGAGCATTTCAGGGCTTCAAATATGCTTCTAGCCTTTTCACAAATAATATCTCTGGTGATTCGATCACCTTTCTCCTTGCTTTCATCAATCCATCCCATTAGGAGCTGCTCCATTTCTTCATGAATGGGAGTTCTGGTACCATTGACGAACACCAATGATGATCCCCTAATAACATTTGCAGCCATAATTTTATTTCTATTAGCTATTATACTTGCAATAGTTGATTTCGGCAAGCCATATTCTCTACCTAAATCACGCACTCCTCTCCCCATTTCTCTCTTTCTAATAATTTCTTGTTTGAATTCCACAGTGAGCACATTTCTTCGTTTCTCGTTCTTTCTACACCTCTGAGGTGTCATTTTCTATCAGCAGTATCACTCCACATCAACCTCTCCATATAAAATGGAGATTAGCACAGGTAAGGAACACTCGCAAGAAGCACTAAATACAATGCGGAAACCACGACGAGAATCTCCCTTCTGTAAGGAAACGAAAAACATTAAAAAGGATTCGGAAAATGCACTTCGAATCATCTTGAGCCTGTTCAGTCACACGTATAAGGTGACCCACACACAAATCAATGCGACAGGTAATTAAGGCAACAGCTTTCTTTTCACCACAAAATCTATCCCCAAAGGCCATGGAAAAGTNATTCGGAAAATGCACTTCGAATCATCTTGAGCCTGTTCAGTCACACGTATAAGGTGACCCACACACAAATCAATGCGACAGGTAATTAAGGCAACAGCTTTCTTTTCACCACAAAATCTATCCCCAAAGGCCATGGAAAAGTCAATCGCGTAGAAAACCGAACATTGCGTTCCCATATTAAAATTCCTCGGCAAAGCTAGCATTTTTGTATCATCCTCTTTTTCTAAATACGTAAGTGCCAACATTTAGACACAACAGTTCTCTTCATTATTCCGTGAATCCAAACCAAGGAATTTGTTGAGTGGGCATGGTAAATACGTAGTTCCGAAAATGAAAGAAAAATATATTGACGTCAGAATATGTTCTTCGATATTTCTTACGTAACCAGCACATTTTCCCCACCTGATGACCCAAGTTAATCACTGCGAGGTACGTTTATCAAAACTTCGCATCCTCATTGAATCAAATGAATCCTATCTCCGCTATAACCAAACTGACATGGAAATTTTTGCGCAAGGAACACGGTTCTTATTCAGATTAAGTGCAGTAGACATCGCAAATGACATCTTTGAAGTGTTGAAATAAACTGTAGCAAATTGGTCGCTGTCAGCCGAGTCTTTTTTTTCATGCATCATCGGAAACTCGTACTGTACATATTCCTGACGAATTCCTATTCCAGAAACCCATGACGTCCGACAATTATTGATTCACACGTAAGAGGATCACTTTTGACGGTTTCCGTGTCAAGTTTGTTCAAAGAAACGTTCGTTAAACCAACAAACGTGTTTCGTTGAGTTTAAGCGAATATCGTCCACTTATAGAAGCATGAAGAAATAACGCATTCCGCTTTTACCCTCGAACACCACCATCGATGCAGCCATTCGAGGTAAAATGCTGATACAGTATCTCGATTCGGTCATCACTTTGCCAAACCGGGGCGCAAAATCAACAACAACCAGGAGAAATACACCCAAAACTTGATAGGATTCGTGAAGAACCCTTGAATCATAATCTTCATGTGAAAAAAATCGCACTTCGCTTGATCGAATATTTTGAAAAATTATGCCTCGAACGTAAAATACGAAAGGGATGCTTTAGAGACGATATTTCATCAAAGACCCTCAATGCATGATCTCCATAATTATAACGGCTGATTTTCGTAAGGTGCGCTCATCATCAGAATGAAGAAAAAGTATGACGATGTCGAAGATCGTACTGACTATTGGTACGACTTGGTTCATACATATGTTTACCGCATAAATACTTGAATATATTTTGTCTTTTCTTCATCTTTCACGTGCTGTACTTTCACTCAACTAGAACATTGAGCAGGATGAAAACTTTCGCCTCTTCAGTTCCCTATTAAAACCAATCCACAGGCTAACAAGACATGAAACTGACCGACACCAATTAGAT